GTGAGTGTGCGTGTGTGTGTGTGTGTGTGTGAGCGTGAGTGTGTGTGTGTGAGTGTAACTGAGTGAGTGTGAGCGTACGTGTGAGCGAGCGTGTGTGAGCGTGAGCGTGTGTGTGAGTGTAACTGTGAGTGAGTGAGTGAGCGTGCATGTGTGTGTGTGTGTGAGTGTAACTGTGAGTGAGTGAGCGTGCGTGTGAGCGTGCGTGTGTGTGTGAGCGTGCGTGAGTGTGTGTGAGCGTGTGTGCGTGTGTGAGCGTGTGTATGTGAGCGTGTGTGAGCGTGTGTGTGAGTGTGAGTGAGTGAGCATGCGTGTGTGTGTGAGTGTAACTGAGTGTGTGTGAGCGTGCGTGTGAGCGTGCGTGTGTGTGTGAGTGTGTGTGAGCGTGCGTGTGAGCGAGCGTGTGTGTGTGTGAGCGTGCGTGTGAGCGAGCGTGTGTGTGTGTGAGCGTGCGTGTGAGCGAGCGTGTGTGTGTGTGAGCGTGCGTGTGAGCGAGCGTGTGTGTGTGTGAGCGTGCGTGTGAGCGAGCGTGTGTGTGTGTGAGCGTGCGTGTGAGCGAGCGTGTGTGTGTGTGAGCGTGCGTGTGAGCGAGCGTGTGTGTGTGTGAGCGTGCGTGTGAGCGAGCGTGTGTGTGTGTGAGCGTGCGTGTGAGCGAGCGTGTGTGTGTGTGAGCGTGCGTGTGAGCGAGCGTGTGTGTGTGTGAGCGTGCGTGTGAGCGAGCGTGTGTGTGTGTGAGCGTGCGTGTGAGCGAGCGTGTGTGTGTGTGAGCGTGCGTGTGAGCGAGCGTGTGTGTGTGTGAGCGTGCGTGTGAGCGTGCGTGTGTGTGGGTGAGCGTGTGAGCGTGCGTGAGTGTGTGTGCGTGAGTGTGCGTGCGCGTGTGAGCGTGCGTGTGAGAATGCGTGTGTGTGCGAGCGTGTGTGTGTGCGAGCGTGTGTGTGCGAGCGCGTGTGTGAGCGTGTGTTCATGTCACATGTATGAATGTCTCTGTATGGCTGACTGCTCTCTGTTGTGTTTTAGACTCTTAAATATGCCTTCCAGACCCCTGACCGGCTGTGTTTTGTGATGGAGTATGCTAACGGAGGAGAGGTAAGAGCGTTTTTTTATAGTAATAAAAATCATTTAGTTCAGTAAAAGAACAGACACTACAATTAAAAACTGAACGCGGCTGCTCAATGCAGTTGAACGACAGTCGCATCACAGATCAGATTTAATTTCTCCAGTGAGGAGAGCGAGTCGAGCCGACTGACGAGAAGAGTGAGGCGAGACAGACAAGATGATCGCGGATGATTTAGTTTCGAAACGAGATGCTAAAGTGCCTGTTTGGCAATATTTTGGATTTTGAAAAGCCTGTTGACTTATGCAGTTCATTTAAGGAGATTTTGGAAGTTTTTTTTAAACATTCGTTTCTTATTTAATTGGTTCCACAATGTTTGCTGATTTTTTAACTTTGTGTTAGTTATTTTTATTTGACATCAAGGTATATGCCGTGCCTCCAAGCTTTCTTATTCGTTTTGCTAATACACAGTCCACGTTTCTTATTTATTTGGTTCCACAGTGTTTGCTGATTTTCAGTTTTGTATTCAAACTTTGTGTAAGTTATTCTGTATTAGGCATAGCCTATAGAATGGTGTATTTTGATTTTTTTTTTGTTAATAAAAGTTCTATGATTTATATAGGCTAAGTTGAGTTTGAAGTATTTAGTTGTTGCTTGAATTGCCGCTAGTTTGATGTCGATTAACACTAGTGAGCGTGTGTTTCAGTCAGCCGCTGCTGTTTTCTCTCTCGTGTGGTTCTGACGTGTCTCTCGCCCACAGCTGTTCTTCCATCTGTCCCGTGAGCGTGTCTTCTCTGAGGACAGAGCGCGCTTCTACGGCGCTGAGATCGTCTCCGCTCTCAACTATCTGCACTCACAGAACGTCGTCTACAGGGACCTGAAGGTCAGACGCACACCAACATTTTATTTAGTATTTTTCATCGCAGTTTATATTTTTTGGTACATGAAAAAGTTGCTACATATTGCATAGTTTCTTACATCATTGCAACACATGTTAGAAATGTCCTCATTATGTCAAAGCAAGTCACCTTTATTTCTGCACTAGGGCCGTCAAGCGATTAAAAAGAGTTAATCTAATTAATTACATGACGTGCCAAATAATTAATCTAATTAACTGCACATCAGTTTTGGCTGAGGAATAAGATAATTTATTAATTATTGTGTTAATAGATATTACAAAGAAGTAGCTTTAGAAGAAATATTTTGATTGAACATTGCATAAATAATATGAAATCTGTATTTTTTTTTCGAGAATTGAATATTGAAATATGAAATTTTTTTTAAATGAAATGTATCTCTAATTATGAAACTAAAAGCAACAGTAAGTGCAATGAGTCACTGTCTTAAGTGAGTCATTGAATCATTCATTCAACTGATTAATTTAGAAATAGCAATTGGTTGTTTTTTATGAATGAGTCACTGAATCATTGATTCACTCCATTCGTTCAAAAACGTGGATTCATTTAGTAGTGAATCACTGCTGTGTGCTGATCAGAGACGCTCAACAGTTCTGCTGTGGTTTTGATTAGAACTATTTTCAAACGTGACCCTGGAGCACAAAAGCAGTGTTAAGTCGCTGGGGTATATTTGTAGCAATAGCCAACAATACATTGTATGGGTCAAAATTATACATTTTTCTTTTATGCCAAAAATCATTAGGATATTAAGTAAAGATCATGTTCCATGAAGATATTTAGTACATTTCCTACTGTAAATATATCAAAACTTAATTTTTGATCAGTAATATGCATTGCTAAGAACTTCATTTGGACAACTTTAAAGATGATTTTCTCAATATTTAGATTTTTTTGCACCCTCAGATTCCAGATTTTCAAATAGTTGTATCTCAGCCAAATATTGTCCGATCCTAACAAACCATACATCAATGGAGAGCTTATTTATTCAGCTTTCAGCTGGGCTGCAACAGCTAATCTATAAAATCGATTTTTATTGATTATGAAAATCATCGACAACGATTCTCATTATCGATTAATCGGGTCTGCCCACAGTGCACGTCCAACGGAGTTTACATACTTGTCCAACTTCAGCCGGTCACGTCAAATTAAAGCACTGAATTACAAATTTCTATGGACAAAATGCATCTAAAATAGTGGAGGAAACAGAATGAGATGCTGCAGGAGAGTTACGTGATCCAAGCTGCCCAAAACATGAGAATTCCTTATTTTAAGCTTTAAGCTAATGCATTAGCGTAATGGCTTGCCCTGTCAGGCGCTTTAACAGATGCGTGTGCGTCCTCAGCGCAAAAAAACTTTCAGTTTACGGTCATATCCTTATGTATAAATGTCACAAATTCACGCGAGCATTTCCATTTTTGCATAAAGGTCCATCCTGACAGTCTGTGTTAAATTTTAATCTTTACTGAATGAGCGCCAGCGCGGCGTCAGACAGACGGAAAACAGAGACAATTAATAATCAGCGCAAAAACATTAATTGTGCTGAAATATCTGTTGTTGAAAGTTAAATTAAGGTTTAAAGGTCAACATGCATTGCGCATATTTTATGAGAGTAGGAACTGTAAGGGGATAACAGCGTGTAATTGTCTGAATATAAATATCAGACGCTTCAAACCCGCCTTTAACAGGATAAAGAAATGACACTAAGCCCTGTTCGGAATCCATGAGTTTTATCACTGAGGTGATAAGTACATTTATTTTTACAGACGTCCATATGAGAAACAATTACCGTCCGAATCGGGCTATGACGTGACTGTGGTCAAAGTGAACGTGTGTTCCTGCAGAACATTACTCTTACCTATTGGTTACCACTGAGTTTGTGATTTTATTCGTCTTTATCATCTTTATTATTATAACATTTTTTAATGCAGAGATTTAAACTATACATTGGGCAGAATGTGGAATAGTGTGTTTTTGTCAATAAAATAAAACAAAAAAAAAAGTTTGTTTTTAATCCGATTAATCGAAAAAATAATCGACAAACTAATCGATGATCAAAATAATCGTTAGTTGCAGCCCTAGTATAAATCTCAATTTCAAAAAATTGACCCTTATGACTGGTTTTGTGGTCCAGAGTCACAATTGTGAAATTGATCAATATTGCGTTTAAAATGTAACACAATATTAGTTTCTTGTTTTTTGAACTGTTGTATAAAATCACATTTGCAATCGTGAAACAGCTTTTTCAGCAGCAAAGCGGTTCTACAGAAGACAGTAGTGTCATTATGTGTTGATGATGATCATGTTCTGTGTTCTCTCAGCTGGAGAACCTCATGCTGGATAAAGACGGACATATGAAGATCACAGACTTTGGTCTCTGTAAGGAGGGAATCACAGATGAGGCCACCATGAGAACGTTCTGTGGAACCCCAGAATACCTTGCGCCGGAGGTACTCAACAACACACACGCTCAGGGGCCCAGCAGGGGCCTCACGATGATAGTTCACCCAAACATTAAAATCCTGTCATCATTTACTCACCCTCATGTTTTATTAACATTAAAGGAATAATTCGCCCAAAAATAAAAATTCTGTCATAATGTTTTATTTTTATACCACAATATACTCACTCAAAAGTTGTTTTAAACCTGAATGAGTTTCTTTCTTCTGCTGAACATAAATGCTATTTTGAAGAACGTGGAAAACCAAACAGTTGCTGGCCCCCATTGGCTTCCATAGTATTTTTTTTCCCTACTATCAAATTCAGTGTTGGACCAGCAACTGTTTGTTTACCCACATTCTCCAAAATATCATCTCTTGTGTTCAGCACAAGAAAGAAATTAATACAGGTTTGGGACAACATGTGAGTGAGTAAATAATGACAGAAATTAAATTTTAGGGTGAGCTATCCCTTTAATGACAGTCGGCAGCATGTTTAGTACTGTCCCTTTAAGACCAGCACGCTTCTAATATACAGACACGCATTATATGAGAATAAAAGCCTCGAAAAGTTGTGGAAATGAATCAAATCTGAAACCAACATGGGCATTTTGATAATAAATATACATTTTTCAAATTATGCCAAACTTTAAAATATTTAAAAAGTGTGTGTCTAAAAAGTCTACCAAAAAATAATAATAATAAAAATAATAATAAAAATGGACCAATATAAGCTTTCTGGACCAAAAAAAAATAAATTTGTGTCATTTTTGGCCTTTTTTGGGACACTTTTGTTATAGGTTCGGGAGGGACGGATGAGGGTTTTAATACACAATAGTGTGTTTTTTTCATTACTGGTATATATGAATGCAGTCATTTGTACACATGCTCTTCAGTCGCTTCAGTGTTTGCCTTTCTAAATCTTGATTGGTTCCACATTCTAAGGATCAAATCTGATTGTACATGCATTTGTTTATGCATGCGTCAAACTTGTTTAAATTTCAACTCTAATAATTTTAGTGATACATGTCATCTATGATGTAATGTGGAGCATTGTGACAAAAGTGGCGTCTGGATTTGTTCTCGTGTGTGTTCAGGTGCTGGAGGACAATGATTACGGCCGCGCAGTGGACTGGTGGGGTCTGGGAGTGGTGATGTACGAGATGATGTGCGGACGCTTGCCCTTCTACAATCAGGACCACGAGCGGCTCTTCGAGCTCATCGTGATGGAGGAGATCCGTTTCCCCAAGAACCTCTCGCCTGAAGCCAAAGCGCTGCTCACCGGCCTGCTGAGGAAAGACCCCAAACAGAGGTCAACCTCATCATATATATATATATATATATATATATATATATATACAGCGCTGGCCAAAAT